GGAGACTTAAATGCTGCGTAATATACTTGTACGGCATGGAATGTGTGTACTGAATGCTCTTCCGGAGCAGTGCCCGCGGCGCGGCGTTCATTTTCGTCGCGGGCGCCGCCGCCGGCGTACTGTCGCTTTTCCCCATCAAAATGCACGAATGCGCGCGCCTTCACAATGCGCACTCTCGCAGGTGTACACATGGCGTACACCATCTGTGCGAACGAGTGCGTGCACTCACAATATGGGTGAAGAGGTTCCCCGTAAGGGGTGCTTTCCCTAAACATTTTCTCAAAGACCACCGCAAAAGCCGGCGGTAATTTTTTGTTTTTTTCTTTCGGTTGTACACGGGGGGTGTGGGCAACTTAGAGCTTTGCCCGTCTATGGTTCGAGGTTTGAACCCGACGCGACGTTTCCCTTCCTTTTCAACTTTGGGACATAGTTTTTATTTTTTTGTCCACTTCGATTGCGGGTTTAGTCGGAAAAAAGGAGCCAACGCTGGAGAGGAGATAGCCTCCTCTCCCGTGTTCATTCCGCCAAAAGGGAGAGAGGTGGAAGGAGCTTCCACTGAACTCTTAACCTGTCACCGACAATATGCCCGCAAATTTGCCTGACTAATAATAGCAGCAAAAAAAAAAAGGGGGGGGGGATGTTTACTGCATTGAATATTGAGTACCGTAGTCCCCACTGAGCACAAGACGTCTCGTAGCCGGCTTGAAACAGCTCGACTAAGCTAGAGACGTTTTGGGCTACGCAAGACGTCTATAAAACATCTTTACAAGACGTCTCAAGATGTATTGACGTAGACGTTTAAAAGATATCTCAAAGAGGCGACTCACGTCTTGGGCGTCTTTTAGCTGTCTCTAAGATGTCTAGGAGATGCCTTGCAAGACGTCTTGTAGCCCAAAAAAGAGAGGGAGCGTTATGAAATCTACAGGGCGGCTACAAGATGACTCAAGACGCCTTAGGCTATCACCAGGGGCGGATGCAGGAATTTCCTGAGGGGAGGGTCAGCTGTTGGTCAGCGTACCATATGTCTAGGAACCCCCTCCCCCTCTCCCTCGTTTCACGCCCTAAATTTTACACATGCAGAAATCAAGAGGGGGGTCAGGACATCCGGACCCCCCCTCTAAATCCGCCCCTGGCTATCACGTCTTGCAAAGACATATAAAAGACCTCTTGCTCGTCTTGCCAAGACGTCTTTAGACGTCTAATAGACGACTTCGTGTTCAGTGGGGTCAACATGTCTAGCAGTGGCAAGCGAGGTGCCATGGCGACAATAGAGCGGGCCTCAGCATAGGTCGGCATTTCAGGACCCACTCACTCACCATCACATCACCGAAATCTGAAGCCCATCAAAGTCATTCGGAATCGCATCACAAAGTACACCGTCATTCACAAGTCGCATCCCTTCACATCACAGAGTTCAACCGTGCCAAACACTCATCGCCAATCAGATCACGTCCCCTCAAACTCGCCCATATCACGGCTACTGACACTCATGAGGAGGAGGTCTCAATCACGGCCAGTGACTCACATCACGAGTCCACAACCTCTCAAACTCGCCCATATCAAGGCTACTCACATCCATGAGGACGAGGTACCACTCACGGCCATTCACAACACGACCCCTCAGAGTCAACCCATCACGACTACTCACACTCATGAGGAGGAGGTCCTACTCACGGTCAGTCACTCACATCACGACCTTTCAGAGTCGACCCATCACGGCAACTCACACTCATGAGGACGAAATCCCACTCACGGCCAGTTACTGACATCACGACCCCTTAGAGTCGCCCTCCTCACGGCTACTCACACTCATGAGGGGGAGGTCCCACTCACGGCCAGTCACTCACATCACGACCTCTAAGAGTCGACTAATCAAAACTCCTCAAACTCATGAGGAAATCCCACTCACTGCCAGTCACTCGCATCACGGCCCCTCAGATTCGACCTCCCCCCCCCCCCCCCCCCCCCCCCCCATACTGGCTAGTCACACTCATAAAAAGGAAATCCCACTCACGGCCAGTTACTCACATCACGGCCCTTCAGAGTCGCACCCCCCATCACGGCTACTCACACTCATGACGGGAGTCCCACTCACAGCCCCTCGAGTTGCCCCTATCACGGCTACTCACAATCATGAGGAGGGGTTCCCACTCATGGCCAGTCACTCACATCACGGCCCCTCGGAGTCGGCCCCATCACGGTTGCACATACTCATGAGGAGGTCCCACTCACGGCCAGCCATTCACATCACGGCCACTCAGCCGCTCACCATCATGGCTCCGCATCCCCTCATCGCGGGGCTTCGTCGCTACTCGCTACGAGCCGAGCCCGCCGAGCGGGCCCGCGCCTGCGGCACTTACTATGTTGCTCTGTTTGCCTTTTCTTTTGTTTGTATATTTTTTAAGTTTTTAACACTGGACGGGAGACATCCACGTGACGGAGACACCACAGCGCTATTGAGAATAAGAAAAAAAAAAGCTATTATACAAGGCTGCGTCGTTCGAATCTACTTCTTTTGTGGTATAGACCAACTTACCTCACTGACGTCACGCTACTGCGGTGGCCCTGCTGTCGGTACTGTGCATGCGCAGACGCTTCACTCCTCCTGATTTTGGTTTCTGCGCATGCGCAGTGCCCGCACTTGATGTGGACGAATCGGGCTGGTTTTTAAACACTGTGTTGGCGTATAGCGGATGAATTAAACGATTCGTGGCGTTCGTCTGAAAGAAAGGTTCTTGATGAAAAAACGGTTAAAGTACAGGCGAGCTGGTGGATATTTACCATGATGGAACTTAACCCGAGACTGGGGTAGAAACAGAAACTTAAAAGTAGGAGGGACAGAGACAAGTGAAGAAGAGACGTTTTCCATCACGGTTCGGAACGCAAGGAGGAAACTAATCGAGTTCGCCAAAAGTAGAAACGTTCCCTTCAAGATAACATTTGACAAGCTAAAGATCGATAACACCACTTATATGTTCATCGTCGAGAATAACTGTGTCCAGCCAAAACACACCGAAATCACAACCTAAAAACGCGACTAATCCTTGCGCTATCACCATCACCCCGCACTTTCAATATATTTCAAGTGTAATCCCGAAACGCGATATATTATCATTTCTTCATGATAATGATTCTAATATCGCAATTCTACCAAAGAAATGGCTAAAGCCCGAATTCCACAATAAAGAAATATTAACTAATAGCTCTCAATTTAACATTTATCGTCGCGATAGGTTGCTAAAAAGAGGTGCTGTTAATGACCGTTAAATTTCTTCATGCGAAATTCCAACTGATTGTAGTTCTTTCTCTTGACAGCTGTTCTAAATTCATCGACGTTCTCCACGACCAACCCAAATGCTAATGTATTCCAATTCGGTGATTTTAACTTTTCACTAATAGATTGGCCCTCAGTGAATTCACGCGATCAACACGAAATAAACTTTTTGGACGTTTATCAAAACTTCAACCTTGTACAAATTATTAATGACCCCATACGAAATGATAGTATTTTAGATTTAGTTCTGACATCTATCCTGAATCTGTTACCGCCATATCATTCCTCAAAGGTTTCAGCGATCACAAATTAATAAACAACGGTATACACCTTCATAAAAAAAAAAAATCGACCTCTAAATTAATTAGCAATTATAACAAAGCCGACTTTTTTCAATTAACAGCGCACTTTCTTTCTTTTTTTCACGCCTATGCTGATGGATTTCAAGCCAGAACAGTCGAACAAAACTGGCACTTATTCAAGATTAAACTTTCAGAACTGATTGACATCTTCGTTCCACTCGTTCATATCCGATTCGCTAGTAACCAACCATGGTTCACTAAAACGCTAAGAAGCAAAAAGAAGAGACTATTTCGTCTTGCTAAATTGCCCTATGCTCCGGAGGCCTGGACAAGGTATAAAATGTCTGAGAAATATTTCAATTCCTCCATTGTCCTTGCCAAGAAAAAGTACTTTAACTGTGATCTGCCCTCTCTTCTAACTACTAAACCTAAGAAATTATGGAAGGTAATATCACCACAGGAATCGCATTCGTCCATTTCCTTATCAGACGAGGAAGGTAACCCAGTGCCCGATGCCCTTTGTCCCACAGTTTTAATTCTTCACGTCAGTATTCGCCAAAGAAGATCATTCTAACATTCTCTCCGTAGTAGACCTTGACTATACATTCATGTCACCTATTTTGATCAGAAGTTCTGGAATCAATAAACTCATAACTAATCTTGATATCCGACATCATCCGGTGCCGATAACATTTGTTCTAAAATGTTTAAAAATACTCGTACAATTTCTTTAGATATGCGACCCTAATATTTAAACAGTCCCCATCATCTTGCTTTAGTCCCACAGCCTGGAAACTTGGCAAAATTGTCTCCGTTTTTAAATCTGGCACTAAATCATTTGCAGCTATCGTCCCATATCCGTAACCAGTGTCGTGTCAAAATTGCTAGTACATAAAATTTTCTCATTCCATGAGTCATCTTGAAAATAACTTCTTTTACAAATATCAATACGGTTTCCCAAGTGGTACTCACGCGAAGCACAGCTGATAGAATTCACCCACGATATTCATACTAATATGGACAACTCTTCCCAAACTGAAGTTATTTTTCTTAGACTTCTCCAAAGCATTTGATCGCGTTCCCCATTGTCGCCTAATATCCAAACTTTCCTCTTAGTTCAGATCCCAGTTGAAAATTCCCACTGTTTCTGACAATTGAAACCAATGGGGAAAAGTGTTTGTGATTTCGGACTCCTCATTGAAAAAATCCCAATTGGTTCCAATTGTCGAAACCCAATTGAGCATTGCCAATTGGAACCAATTGGGCACGACAATTGGGAAAACCGTTTGTGATTTCGGACTCCTCATTGGAAAAGTCCCAGTTGGTTCCAATTGTTGATACCCAATTGAGCATTGCCAATTGGAACCAATCGGGCACGATCAATTGGGAAAACCGTTTGTGATAACTGGACAATTAAACCTTAATAGATGGTATTTGACCTTTTTTATTGGAATTTAGAGATTCACTCCTTCGGCCTCCTATCGGTTGGCCGTCGTCCTGTTGTTCAAGCGTTGCCCTCTGGTTCGGTAGTTTCCTCCTGGTCCAGTTTTGCCTCTGCAGCTTTCCTAGGAGCACCAATATAGGTTAAATTACTACATGGCCCATATAGGTCTTCATATTTAGCTTGCGATAAGGAACAATGACGTTTTTACTTCATAAAACATGATTATTTATTTAGAAATCAAGTCTTCGATGCTGCAACAAAAGCGGCCAAGGCCGCACAAGGCTTTGCAGGCGGCATTTTGAACTGGTCAAAATATGGATCCGCTAAAATTCTATATTGCTTGAAGGAGAGCATTCGGAAATATCTGCAGTACATCCATAATCGATGGGTAAATTCTGGTAGAAGATAATTAGGAGCATGTATTTTTACGTTGCAAAGAAAAAGAACTGTGACCATGTTGATTAAGTCCGATTCCATACTTCAGGGTACTCAACGACTAGCTGCTTCCTATGAGCCACTGATGCATTCTCTGCTGCAAGGGGCTAGGGCAGTTAATATGCTGTAACTCTACATACACTGCATAGCTGCAGCATCTACAACATAGTTACACGTACTGCATAGTTACAGCGGTTGGAGAGACAAACTTCTGGTGTGTCCTCTATGTTAATAAAGTTCTCCAGCGAAAGCTTTTGCTCCAGCTCTAAAGCGCCATTCAGTTTTACAAAAACAAGCTTCAAATGTACTGCGTCTTTCCGCGAGAAAAGAGAATAGTGTTTTTCTCACCGCAAAAATATACAGATCGTAGCGCGCTCAAACTTCGCCAGATACGTAACCCAAGCCTTTGGTGCAACATGCCACAGTTTTGGAACATAGTGATTTGATTCAAAACGTAGAAGCAATTTTTGAAAATTTCAATGACCAACGTGTTGCCTCCCGCTATCATTTCTTCGCTAAAACGTCAATCGTTCATGTGATATAGACCCCAAAGTTTCAGGACCTACAAGTGTTGTTTTAGCTAATTTCGGAGACACTCTAAACCTCATTTCCTCATTTAAAATTTCCGAACAATCGCTTCATAAGTGTTCAATCAGACAACCCTAAATCTGTGGCAAGTCGGTGCTTTCGGGAATCTATAGTATATTTTGGAATGCTTAAAGGAGCTCTGCAACAATTTCATGTTTTGCTTAAATAATATGGGAGTTGGTGTCTCGACCTTTCTCAAGAAAAGAAGAAAAACTGCTTTTGCCTGCATGTCCTACATACATGGGGTAAGTTACTTCCAAAATGTAATTTAATTACAAATACAGTAATTTTGCTCCAAAAGTAGTTTAACTACAATTACAATTACTACTACGTGAAAAGTAATTCTTACAGTTACGAATCACTTTTAAAAAGTAATGCAATTACTTTACAATTACTTATTTCTGAGAGCTACTCGACTTGGGCAACATAACTTTAAACAAGTTGTATAGAATGCAACGCATTTGTTCATTCCTTGCCCCAATGTTTGAGGAGGCTTAAGCATCGCTGCATAAATGTCACATACTGTACTCTCCTTTTATTATTTATTTGTTAAATTCATGATAGAATTTGACAATTTGGGGAAATGAAGTACTACGTTCTTATATTTTTAATAAATAATACTAAATCAGTTCATACGCTGGAAGACGCCAGATCGCTAAAGAAAAAATTGGGTTGACAGACTTTGCCAGGCAAATAAAAATGCGACAATTAGTCATATATAAATATTTTAAAAGTGTTGATATAAAACCAAAATCCGCGCGCGCTATTACGACCACATTCACATACAAACATGTTAATGTAAATTATTTACATTGAGATGAAATTATAATGGCTCAGAAATATATAAGAACCAAATCGGGGCTCCCGAATCATTGGTGCGAATATTAACAGGTGCGAGGACAGTCTCCAAAATGCTTATGCAAATAATGTCCGAAGTGAAACCAACAGGATATAAACTTGAAAATACTACAAAGATACAAATATGAGGCAATACTGAAAGAGGAACGTGAAAAGCTGAAAAAAAAGAAAAGAAAAATAACTTCCATATACATCATAGTGAATTAAAATTCCCAACCTCGGTTAAAAGGTGAAGCTCAATTTTTTTTCTTCAATATTTTGGCATGTTTACGCTATTGTTTTCTGCTCACTCCGCAGACGGCGCTACACGACATCGTTGAGTTATAGCTCCAAAGAGGATTTTCTCTCAGCCCACAATGTAAGCAAAAAAACAAAAAAGCCAAAAACGCGACGCTTTTTTATTGTATGTGCGTGTGCTTGCGTGTCTATGTGTGCAAGTGTATCATCGAGCGCTAAGACTTCCAGAGAGGTTTCGTCGGCGCCGCAAAGTCTTGCAAAAGTGATTGTAATTGTGCCTGAAATTTTGCAATTACTTATGCTAGAAAGTAATTAAATTACAATTCCTTTTAACCGAAAGTAATTAAATTACAATTCCTTTTAACCGAAAGTAATTAATTGATATTAAAAATTACCAAAAGTAATTAAATTACAGTAATTAAATTGCAGCAATTGAATGAGTACCCAAGTATGATGTCCTAGTTTTTATTTTTTAATGGACTAAGATTGAGGTTTTCGGCACCTCCCAGCTCCTTCGCCATCTTCCGAGTCACGTGCGCTGTGACGTGAATGGGGGAGGCGCAGGGTTCCGGTGAAGCTCTCTCTCTAGAGCCATTAGTGAACAGCGAGAACTCACCCACTCGCGACCACGTGACCACGTGCTTGCGCAGAGCGATCAACATGGTGAAAAGAGGAGAGTCTCGTCCGGGTCCGGCCATCCCCGTCCGGCTGTCCCCGTACCCCTCCGGCTTCTGGCGGCTGTTCGCGATAGCAGATAGAGCTGGCGGTTTTGTTGACCTCGGATAGATGGCGCCACTAAAACTCCGAATAGAAGTTTTGTCGATGATACAAGGTTTTTGACGCATTTATATTTATGTTGGAGCGACAAGATTTATAGAAAAATTACCTTTTATCGAGCAGGTATTTGCACAACTTCCTATCTTCTCACAAGTCCTCCATTGACGTCCTGCCGCGTGGTTCACATATCCGCCGCTCGCGGCTGCAGGTCGGGAAATATTCTAATATTTGCCTCGCGATTACGCAGCGGAATCGCAACATTTCGAAGGAAGGAGATGTGTGTTTTGTCCTTTGTAGCAAGATAAACAATGTCAAAAGTAGAAGATGCGAATTCTTTCAAAGTTAAAATCGTTGCACAGCTCCTTTAGAACATTTTTTTTTTCGCACTGCCACCCGATTAAACTGGGTAGACTTTCTGACTGACAGCTCGGAAAATTATCTTCTGTAAAGTTCCATTCGTTCAGGCTCCTACCCTGTACTGACCATAAAGCTAAAGGTGTCTCGGCATATGTATTAAGAGTAAAGCTATACGTACTACGTAGTGCAACTTCAAACGTGAAAATAGCGCAAACATTTGACAAAGGACGAGTGAAAGAAGTGCGCGGACAAAGCGCTGACTATCAACTAAAGTTTAATTTTCAAGCGAACCAGAAAATAAACACAGGGAGCATAGGAAAGAACCAGTCAAGACACAAACATACAACCCTTCCTTCACTCGTCCTTTGTCAAATTTTTGCGCTGTTTTCACGTTTGAAGATGTTCAACCAACTCGCCCAACTTATCGCCTTGTTGAACTACGTAAAAGAAGTGTTCTTTTACGTAGGAAAAGAAACAAAGAAGTGTTCTTACCTTGACCCCATAACCGTTTGTTATCCATCCTTCGCGCTCCAACGAAGTGGCAGGCCCAATGGCAGTGGCGTCGGAACTATTTTTCCCCTGGGGGAGCAAAAAAAAAAAAAATACTACCATAAACATCATCATCATTATCATTTATTTTCTTTGAGGGTTCATGCAGACACTATACAGGGGTCGTGCATATGATTACATGAATAAATAAACACAGTTAACACACCGTCATAAGACCATGATGTAAACACGCTACAAGTGAGCGCACTAACTGTGACAGATAATTAAAAAGCTAGAACCAAAAATGTATCCTTTATGTGACATTTTCTCAAGTTTTTGTTGCCGATATTCTATTTGTGACACTGACTGTTTATGGCAGTGTCACAAATAGAATATCGGCAACAAAAACTTGAGAAAATGTCACATAAAGGATACATTTTTGGTTCTAGCTTTTTATTTTATTTGTGTTTATTTTTTTGACACTGACTGTTTGACACGATGACGTTTCTCCTGTGTTCATAAATGATTAACGTAATTATGGAGAAACCAAATACCAGAGAGGAGTCGGTAATTAGAAGGAATAGGGCAATAAATGCGATATATGAAAGATACGTGCATATTGATGGCGCAAATTAACTCTAATTCAAAGCAGTCCCAGTTGCTTAGAAAACCTAGGAAAGGAATTTCAGGAAGAACTAGTGGTCGAGTTAAAGGTAACAGAGGTAACATTGAGAAATCTATAAATCGATGACACGGTAGCTCTGTCGCTGAGGCAGCCTTGGAAGCGACACCAAAGTTATCAAAGCTACACACACACAAGCCAGCCCACGTGTCCCGGTATATATGTAGATAGAAAAAAGGAAGGTTGGTCAGCAGTACCCCAGATTTTCACTAATCACATAATGTGAACTCCAGACATACAATAGGATATTATGAAACATAAAAAAGATTCTGCGCGAGATATTGTCAGCTGGGAGGAACGAACAACCAAATGTTGTAAACGTGGTCCAGGAAAAATTACAACATGCGCATATTTGTATCGTAGACCTAAAGTAACATTGCAATAGTAATGTGCCTTTACATTGTCAGCGAGAAAATGACGTCAACGCAATTATAAACATAATTTACATATTTTGTGCATACTTTATAAACAAAGAAAAATAAACGAACAATATTGGCCGTAAAAACGAACAGAAGCGTCGCTACAGTTTCCACCGTGACGTCATGGGGAGAACAGAGATTTTTCTCGTGAGATTATGATCGCACGAATCAAAATACAATCACGCTATCGAAAAATAAAGCAAAAAGGATCTTCCCAGTTATCAGCAGCCGATACCCAACTGTCCGCAAGTTGACTCGGCTGAAATATTGTCTCCTTGACGGAGCCACTGAAACTTCTCGGTGCTAATAACAATAACTTGTAATAAATATAGAGTTTAAATATACCCTCGTGAGTGATGTTAGAACTGGTCAAAAGTCACACAAACACACTTAGGCATTTGAACATTTCACAGTCATGCTGTGCCAAACGTGGACTTCCTTTCCGCGGTTCGTGCGACGAAGGTTTGAATTACGGAATCAAAGCTCAAAGTGGCCGTCAGCGCGCCGTGCACGTGCAATAAGAGTAGATGAGTCAACCTTTCCTGTGACATTTGTGCTTCGAAAGCAAGTTTTCATACGTCGTAGGGCACTGATGGATCGTTCGGATGATGCCGACGACACGGGGACTGTGAGAACGAGAAGCACAAGTTTGAAAACTTCCTCAAAAATTAGTTTCACGTTTGGAGCTTGATCTTTCAGCAATGCATGAACATCTTGGATGGTGTCGCACTTGCTGCTTCCAAGTGACGGCAGCATTATCAATTGTGCAGCAAGGCGGGAGACGTCGAAATCAGAAGTGAGGAGCCCCAGTTCCTCTTCCAAGACTGCGGCAGAGGGAGGCTTCCCCTTGGCGGCATCAGTCACAATTCTTTCTAGACGAACAAGCTCGTCGAGTCCAGGCTGCGTGAATCTCCTGTGAATTTCCGCCGTCAGAGTATCGACCAGCTAAAAAAAAAAATCCTCTCTCAGGGCATCCTGGCGAACTTTCGAGGAGGCCGAGGCCTCGTCAAGCCGTTTAAACACGGCTTTTTTTCTCGGCCTCCGCCATTTTTTGAAATGGAAAATAAAGTAATATTATTATTATTATTATCTTGTGCTTGGGGAATCTATTTTTTATAAAATTACAGTAATGATTACTATTGTGGTGTAACAAGCTGACGTCGCGACCAGTACTACTGTTTTGCATCCAGAAATTGTCGAGAAAATCAATAAAATTGCTAATAATATAAATACTTATATCAAACAATAAAACTGAGGGCTTACCAGTAGGGGTGTCGAGAACGCAGAACGAGGAGCTTGTTGACCATGAGGGCTTTGCTCAAAAACTTTGAAAAATTGAGGCCATATGAAGGTGAGAGTTCAGCTGGGGCAGGGGATTGAACAGTTGAAAAAGACTCCAGAAATATTGGTGACAGGCGAAGCTCTATATCTGTACTTCTCCACACTCGCATCATGGACAGAGAGGACAGACTCTACAGCAGCAGTATGCTGTTTATGAAGGATTGTGACAGTAGCATTTTAATTTTTCCTCTGCTCCGCCCCATCTCCCTCCACCGCACCAGCCAACAAAATGGACGTCGCTACTGGCGGTATACACCAACTCAACTCTCCTACGTCACGCCGCGGTGGTGGCGCGCCGGACGCACTTCCGGTCTGTGGCGGTGGGCAGAAGTCGCCGTGCCAGACATGCATTCCTGTGTTCCCTTGGAAGAAACGAGTCAAAAAACCTGCTTTCTCGTCAAAATGCTGCGACGGGGGTTGTACCAAGAGAGTCTGGAAAGGTTTGAAGATCAGTTTTCACGTGTTTTTGTCCCCTCCGTTCGTCCGAGAACGTGGATAGTAGCCGTGAAAAGGGCGAACCAGACGCTGTCGAACTACGATTGCGTGCGCGGACAACACTTTGTGGTCGCCAGATGTATTTGCTTTGTTCCAACATAAACGAGAGAAAACCGCCAAGTTGTCCGAACCACCTACGGGTTCAGTGCGTCTTCAAAATCACACGGCCGCCTGATCGTTCGAACTTTCGTCTGCTCTTCCAAACGTCTGCTTTTTGTCGTCTGCTCGTTCAAACAAAAGCGGCCCGTAGACCAAACCTTGACCCGGTGATTGCAATAAGAAGTAATTGTAGACCTCAAAAGACTTAAGTAGGCTCGGTGTAAAAAGTAGATACAAGATGTTGATCATTGGTACCGGTGGTCATCACTGACTTGTTAAGCTTGGTCTGTTCCCGCTTCCAATTTTCAGTATCGACGTCGATCACCTCCGCTACCTTCTACACTTTTGCAACACGAGCGACGTCGCTAGCGAAAATAGCTGGAAGAATCTCATCATGGTTTTGGCGTCCATTCTGCGGCGTTCATGCGAATGAATCGCCGCACGTCAAATTATTTACGGAAAGTTTAGCGGCGTAACGAGCCTTGATAATTTCGCTTAAGCGATTAAAGTGGTAAGACATTGCGATGAGGACGTAGAATCGACAATTCCAACGCGAAAAAGAGTAGGCAGACTCACACAGACGCCGACAACGTGACATTCGAGTGGTTTGTTGACGCGGGACGGCGGTGCTTCTTGCCCGTACCCCATTACGCATGCGTTCGAACTGTCGTCTGCTCTTTCAAACTTGGCTGCTTTTTGTCGTCAGCTGGTTCAAACGACAGCGGCCCGGAAACCAAACGTTGACCCGGTAATTGCGATAAGAACCAAGTGCAGGCCTCAAAACACTTTTGAAGGTTGGTTGGGGTAAGTAGGCTGTGTAAACAGATACAAGAAGATATTTATCAATATTGTTACCAGTGGCCATCACCGACTTGTAATGCCCGATTCTGCTTGCGGTTTTCAGTATCGACGTCCACCATCTCAGCTACGGTCCACGCTTTTGCAATCCGAGCAACGTCGCGTCTGAAAACAGCGAGCAGAATCTCATCGTGGGAGTCAGGCTATAGCGCCCATTCTGCGGCGTCCACGTGAAATGAATCGGCGCACGTCACGTTATTCACGCAAAGTTTTGCCTCGTTAGTTTTGCTGAAGCCGCTCAAGTAGTCAGACATTGTTAGGAGGACGTAGCATCAACAATTCCAACGCGAAAAAGAGCACGGGGACTCCCACCGACGCCGACAACAACGCAATTCAATGGTTTGTTTATGGGCGACGGCGGGTTTCTTGCCCACCATCCACCGCGCATGCGCGGCGCCGGTGGCGTCCGCTAGGGGCGCTCCGGTTTGTTTGTAAACATGAGTTGGTGTATATGCAGACATCGACCCCGTCTAAGCCAAACAAGGCTGCCTGACCTTGTCAGGATCCTTAAAGTAATCCCCCGTCGTACAGACCTTTCCGCTTATCCCCAAGCTTCCGAAGAATCATCTACCGGCCAAAGGAAAGCGAGTCGCCTTCTTCCTGCTTCCTAGTCTCAGCTCTTCATTCGCCGACACTGCGGCACTGGACCTTTTTGAAGTAGTTAAATGTCCCCACTTCCAGGAGAGAGGGGGTCGGCAGGTCGAGAGATGCTTCCGGCTAGTTCAGAAAGTCACTCACAGGAATAGTGCGGCTAACGCTAGAAGCCCCCAAGGGCGCTAGGCTGACTCCCGAAAACTCTTTGGAGGCGAAACAAACAGAAGACGCGGTCTTCACAAATTATCGCGGCGCTTCCCCCAGGCATTGCGATTTTTGAAGCTTCTGAAGGTCGCGCACTTGTGGCTGGCGGCCTGGTCGAGTGGTGTCTCTTTTTTTTTTTTTATCTATGTACAGTCTGAAGGTCATTCACGGGAATAGTAAGTTTAAAACGGCGAGTATACCGTTCACCGACAATCGCAAGCTCTCCAGGGACCCAACTGCCACCCCCCCTCCCCCCTTACTCAGTGAATCGGAAGGGCATTTTAAGTTAATTCAAGCTCATGAAGACTTCTTTTGACAGTGAAACGGCTTCCAGCTTTTTGAAGACCCCGAAGGCCGCGTACTTGCGACGGTAGGTTCAGCTTGAGGAATTCTTCCTACGAAGGTCATTTACAACAATTTATCTGCTGAAGACGGCGAACGTCAAAATCGCTACTTTTCCAAAGTCTTTTTCTCCTCGGCCAGGTTTACGCTGGGGGCTTATCCTTCGGGCTAGGCCCCAAATGATCGGCTTTTGTGGCGATAGCTCGAAAATCTGACTGTACGAAAACGGAGAGGCAGCCACAAAACAGCAAAATCAATAAGCGAAAAAGAAAAAAAAAAAAACTTTGACCGAGGTAGATTGGGGGAGCCGTGCTACCTCATTTGTAAATAAGGGGGAGCCGTCGCTCCCCCTGCACCCCCTGTTCCGGCGCCCCTGCCCAATGGAGTAATGATCACCGCACTATTCAGCACTCGCAGCAATAAAACAACACAACCTTCTTGAATCTCTGCTGTAACCATGCCACAGATGCCGCGCGTGCCATCGGTGCGCTTAGTGCCATGTGCGCCATCTTTGACCAGCGTGTACAGACGGTTCCGACAGTGGCCGCCAGTTTTAACAAAACTTAAAAAAAAAACAAAAAAACACACGGGATATTTAGGAAAAACAAATCCTGACATATTTAATTTACGTGCACAAGTTTTCCTCATTTTGAGATTGAAAACAAAAATTATGTGCAAGTGCTATTAATTGGGGACGCCCCATGTTGGGTTGAATTCCAATAAAAAATTTTACCACTTGCAACTTATTTATTTGAACTGATGTTGGGATGATCGAATACTCAATGAAAATACGATTACGATTGGTACCAATTGATATTGTAATTGTACCCAATGGGTATTTTAACTGGGCTGCCGAAAACAAAATATGTACAATGGTTTCTACAGACGACTTATAAATCAAAACCTTACCCAATTTAAAGTAATCGCGCGTTTTACAAGCCTATTTTAATATGTAGTGCCAACTACACCTGCATGTTCAGTGAAAAAAAAAAGTGAAGCCACTTGATACTGCAAGTGGGACATCTATACCAAAGTGGAACGTCATTTGAAGTGGACCAGTTGGAAGTAAAGAGGGACCAGTTAGATCGGTAAAGTTTGACCACTTAGAATAAAGTGGGACGACTTGTAAAACCACTTTAAATTTTCATTTGGGCTAAACTAACTAATGGAAGACAACTAAAGATACAATTGTGTATGAGGTGCCAATTGAAAAGTACAGTTTCAGTTGGGATAATCAAGTGGACATTTTCGTCCCAATTGACATAACCAATTGTTCATCTTAATGCCAGTTGGATTCAACTAGTTACAATCGGTGCCAACTGAACTTGCAATTGGTGCCAATTAGCACAACCAATTGTTTACTTAATACCAATTGGATGCAACTACCTGCAATTGTCACCAATTGAACTTTTAATTGGAACCAACTGGCAAGAACAATTGTTTACTTATTGCCAATTGCATCCAACTAGTTACAATTCGGCATGAATTGAACTTCCATTTGGAACCAGTTGGAAACAACTGGTACCAATTGAAATTCCAATGGTTCTCAATGGTTATTTTTAACTGGGATTCCTTAGCACTTTCATGAATTCTTAATTTTATAACCCTCAGACATCAATTTACCGCGATTAATGAATTTCAATCCAGCTCCACTAATGTAACCTCCGGAGTCTCACAGGGTACAGTTCTTGGCCCCCTTCTTTTCTTTATTTGCATTAACGATCTCCCAACCACTATATTATCTACCATGCGAATTTTTGCTGACGATTGTTTGTTATACAGGAAAATTAAAGGCTCCAACGAATCATGAAAATTTTTCAGAGTAATATTAATAAGGTTTTTGACTGGTGTACAAAATGGCAAATGACACTAAACTTACCTAAGTGTAACTTGCTTTCATTCATCAGAAAACACTCCATCTTATCATTTTCATATTTGTTAAATAATGTCCCTCTCGCCTTTGTTTCCTCATATAAATACATCGGCATACACCTTACCTCCAAACCTGTCCTGGGTGACTCATATTAACACTATCACCGCTGAATCGTTCCTTTTACACTCGGTTCCCTAAAACGAAACTTCAAAGCCGCACCGGCACATCTACGCCAACTAGCTTACGCTAGTTATGTCCACCCGAAACTTTAATATGCTTCATCTATTTGGAATCCCCATCAAAAGTACCTAAGTACATTTAGAATCCGTTCAAAACCGTGCCGCTCGATTCATACCATCTCCGTACTCTAAGGATGTCAGTGTCTCCCTCATTAAGCAAAATGACACTATTCATCCTCTAGAGACCCGTTGACTAATCTCACTTCTTTGTCTACTTCACCGGTTACATTAGAACCCAACTCAATCCGGCACATCACTTTTAGAAGAACCCGATAGAATATATCATCGCTAAAATAACAGCAAAAGTTTCAAACGCATTTTTGGCTGATCATTTGCTTCTAGTAACTCAGCCCTCCGTCTTGCCGTCAAACACTGAAATGGTCTTCCTGAAACCATTTTCATCATATCAGATCCGAAAACATTTCGCAGTGCTCTCTGTAATAATTTTTTGCCATGATAGCGCTCTGCACACTCACTATTTCACATCTTTGAAGCAGACTTGGGAAGTAATCCGTTATAAGTAACGGATTACTTGTAATCCGTTACTTTTTTAAGTAATTTTGTAATTGCCACGTCAGTTTTTTTCGGAAGTAATTTGTAATGTAATTCCGTTACAAAATATTGCTAACGTATTATTTTAATTACTCGTTACTTAAAAAAATACGAACATAATACAGAAACTGGAGCAATATGAGCAGGCATATCAGCAGAATAAAGATAGCAAGTTCAGCAAAATAAAAAACATCAGAAAGGAAAGAATAGCCGAAAAGCAAAGACGATTTTTTGTATAACCGCGGTCACTAGAACCACTAGAAAAACGGGCACTGACAAAACTAGCAAGTAGGACGATAAAACGGAAGTTATCCTCACAAGTCAGTCGTTTGGATGCGTTCTAGCATTCAAGCGGTGGAGTTTCCGTCGCTCAGCAGGACAATCCCACTGTTCCAGTGGCGTCACGAGGGTCGGCGGACAAAATTCAAAGGGCGCTTCAGTTCGGCGCGTTCTTTACGTTATGTTACGTCAGAGGCTCCGCTGCTCTGAAGGTGAAAGAAGAAAATGCCATTTACGCACGCTTGGTTTAAAATTACTCGTCCAGGAAAGCACATAAAGTTCTGATTTGTCATGGAAGATGCTTTTACAGTTATTGACACTTAAGGTCTAAATGTTTTCTTCAACACGAAATTTGACCGGATAATTCCTTTATATAGCGTCATCGGGCCCCGTTCGCAAAGCCTTCTCATTAGAGTTTTAGTAGATCGTTTCAATGATTCCGATCGATACCCGATACTCCGCCGCCGTCTTTGCGCATGCATCGTATCGTTGTAGTATAGGGGATCGTTGTTGGGAGTATCAGAGGTATCAGAACGATCTCTAAAACTCTCTATTAAACCCGCGCTCGTTCCCAAGCCATGCAAGCGTGTGCGCGTGGTCTAGTCGGTAGCGTCACGATTTCCATTTGAACTTTCCCGCTAAATTTTGCGGGAAAATTTCCCGCCAAGATAAGGTCATGACGTCACAACCACGTGTGATGTCACATGTGGTCGCGGGAGTTGCATTATGGGATTTGTGGTCCCGCCGACGCCGGATTTTTGGCGACATAAGCTCCTAAACACTCGCGTTAAAAAAAAAAAAAAAAAAGTGAAAATCGATCAATTTGTTTGTCAACCTCGCGCCACATTGTTTTTGCTGAATTTGTGCGAAAGTTGTGGAAACATTCGGCTTCTCTGAATAACACCGTCGTCGGATGTTCGACAAAAGTTGGGCTTCACTACCGGAAGATTCGGCACTCATTTCGCTAGGAATAAAAGCAAGACGTGTGCTTTGCCAGTGCCAGGGGCGAATCCACGGCCAAAAGACACCGTGTCAGCCATGTCGTGTCCGCTGTTCACAGGTGTCCACCATGTCTAGGCTCGTGCCCAGCCCCGATTGGTTCGTGGGCGTGGACAGCCTAGACCTGTGCCTCAAAGGACGGTGGCGGGACAGGGTGACGGTGGACGCCGACCCTCTGGACGCCGGCACAGACCAGGGCTTGACGTTCACGGCACCTCGCTGGGCGTCGCAGCCGGCCGCCAACATTTCGCGCATCTCGTCCCGATGGCCCACCCACCCGGCGGCCTCCTTCTACTATCCCGAGCTCGAGCGACTGCCCAGAATCGGCTACTTCCAGTTTCGGAAGCTGCGCGAGTATGCCCTCGTCTTGGAGAGAGCCAGGCAGGACGTCGGCGGTGCTACCAGCAGCAACCACATCCTCGACGATCAGCCCCACCGGCAGGCCCCCGCCGCCATCACGACCGTCGAGCCCACATCTGGTTCGATTCCTGATTTTAGGCTGACTCGGTCTCGGCGAACACCCAGCTTCGGGCTTGATACACCAACTCGTGTCTATGACGTCAAACGAAGGCTCGGCCGGCGCGTGTGCTGATGCCTCACGCTTTGAAAAATAGCTCTTTGCGCACACGCAGTGCCTATATACAGGTTTTGTGGGAAAACTCGCTTGTGTCTAAACGACGAGTTGGTGTATGGAACGTTCAGAAAGATGGGAGATTCCTAATATGCTTCACTAAGGGAAGAGTGGGATAGGAACGCGACAATTCTCGTATTAGATGCAAGAAGCCGCGCTATAACGCGCCGGAAGATCCTCTTTCGCAGCTACAAACATACGAGTTTTTATAATGTACGCTAGAGGTTCAACTGGCGTAGTGTCTATGCGACTTCCGGGACGCAACTTGAAGCAGACAGCAACCACTCTATACCGGGCGTCCGCTAGAAAACCGAATTCTGTTTTTCGCACCGCACAAATAAACAGACGTCGCAGAGAGCTCAAACTCCGTCAGAAGGGAGCCCCAGCCATTCGAGTCGTCTGTTCCATAGCAGGTGTGTGAAAAGGAGCTATGATTCTAAGAAAAATAACAACCGAAAATAATGTAGAGTATGTGACGCTGACGGGTGACGCTTATTGCTAATGTGCCCGTCCTGTCACTACATGAAAATGACTCCGTCGTGCACCTTTACGAGTGGTTAAAAACGTTCGAAACGTAAAGAATGAAGTACGTGGGTTATGGAAGGTGTTTTTGTTTATTATTTCCTATGCCGGGCAGCTTTTATTGGGCACTTGTGCTCCCCTGGCGTCTCCCTATATTCAAAGACTTCAAGCGTGTGGGTGATGTTTTAAACGCAGAAGCATCTTCGCACATATTCATGAGCAGAAAGAATAAGCAGTGCTTATTTATTGCAATATTACGTGGCCTTCAATTTATTTTGAACGGCTACATGCACGTGTAGTTACTGATCCGGTGTTACTGCGTAGTTCTTGCCGTCTTTCTTAATTTCCAGATGTTCTTCGTTCGTTTGGCACGTATATCCCCCACGCTGAAAAACGCCGACGCCGTGTTTACACTAACAGTGTCCGACAGTGCACAAAAATGCATGTACGAAGCGGTTTTAGCACAGTTTTCAATGCCGTGAATTTGAAAATAGAAACGCCTTAACTGACCGATTAATGCGACAGCATTAACTGTCCATTGGAGTGAAGCCGGCAAACGACACCTAAATTCCCATTGGCTGCGGCGCGTCATGTGGCTCCATAACAACGACATCATCGTTGCTAAGGGAGGTTCCTGTAAACAAAGTAAATCTTTGAAAAGAAACTTTGGTACATTTCGGTCTGGGTGGGAATCGAACCCGAGCCTCCGGGGTGCGAGACGACTGCGCTTGCCTGACGCCACGGCAGGTCCACGGTTCTGGCACGGAACTACTGCGTAGTTCTTAACTTCTTGCCGTCTCTCTTGGTTTGCCACATGTCCTTCGTTTGTTTGGCACGTTTATCCCCCATGCTGGAAAGCGTCGACGCCGTGTTCGCGCTAACAGTGTCCGGCAGTGCACATAAATGCATGTACGAAGCGGTTTTAGCACAGTTTTCAATGCCGTGAATTTGAAAATAGAAACGCCTTAACTGACCGATTTCGTCTGCGTGACTGAGAAAAGTTCAAATCCTAGTACGTACAAATTATTCGTGATATTTGTTCTTGTAATCGAGCGGAGGGAGTAAATGTACTCGCTTTTTCCAAAAGAAATGCATTACCGGAAGTCAATTTCCGACTGGATGCTGTCTGCTTCAATTTGCCGCAGCGCGCTAGCACCAGTTGAACCTCGAGTCTAGCGTACATTATGGCCGTGTTCCAAAATTTACTCGATATTACTCCGTTGTGGCATTCTAAAACCTTTGCGTTCTAAAACCTACCCGGGTCTAGCGTTTTTCAACCAGTATGGCGTGACACGACCCGCCGGAGTAACTCGGATCCATTTGGGTAAGATTTGGAACACAACCAACATAACTCTATGGCTGATAGAGGCCACCATGTTGTGCCTCCTATCGACGTCGACGCAAATGCCTTCCCTGTGATGAATGACCGGGTGTATTTTTTCGTGCATCATTCCAAAACGAATGTTAAAACGTGACTTTAATTAAAGTGAATAGTTTAGCAGAGACAGCTAATGTATGGAAATTGGGACTGAACATCCACCCATTAATCGATTAATGCATCAATCGCCGACTAATTTATTTAAAAATTGGACCCTTCTACGGTGTTGGCACGGGCGTCATCTTCGCGATTGTCAAAACTCAGCATGCGTCCCTATATATTTAATCATCGGCGAGACATCTGCTCTTCCGGGACGCTATGTCGTCAAAGCGCATAACAACGATCAGTTCTCTCAAATATGAATTAAGGGAAATGACGGATCCGTGAAGCACCAGTTTCGGGTGGTTGAAGAAAATGACAATTAATTGAGCGAATTCCGTTCCCCAAATGGAGTGTTATATTCCAATTTCGCATTAGTTCAACAATTCGATCAGCGTCCACACTAGACCGACTATTTAATCGATTGAAGGCCACCGATTAATCGGTTAGAAAAATCTTCACCGGTGCATGTCCATAACCGAAATATTTTAAAACTTTTTCTCTCGCCCTCTCCCCGAAAGGAAATCCCGAGTTTGCCGCCACTAGTCGCTTCCCCGCATTGCAACCTTTCAAGAAATAAACTGGTCGGTGCGAGAGCATGCTATTTGAAGGCTGCCAGGGGTGCTGCCAGAGTGTCGCGATTGATGCAAGTTGTTGGGCCACTCTCTTAACACCCAAGAGGGTATAAAAATGAGTGAACGTCGAAAACGAATTTTTACTGGTTAGCGTCCGGGGTGAACAAATTCTACCACACTACCGGTCAGCTACCAGTAGCTGTCTACCGGTAACTGCTAAAAAAAAAAATAATAAAAAACATTAGCGTGTTTGTGTTAATTGTCGCGCGCTGTGGCACCTGTTAACTGTAAGTTAAATTTAGGCCCTTAGGGTGCCAAGCATGCATGACAGTACAATGTTCAAACCATAGTGCTTTACAAAATGACGAGTCATGGAACAAACAATCACATTGACAAAAATCTATGGTAGCTTACTGCAGCAACTGCTCATCTTAGAGCGAAACACGTTCTGACGTCATTTTAAGGTCTAATCCTGTTCCTTTTATGAAGTATCCGAATTTTACCTTCAGTAGAATTTGCAGTCTCATTTTAAGTATAGTAAATTCGCATAAACCGCTTCACAGCTATTTCCACGTAGGGATGACATCACGTGCATGTTAACGGAGACCATATAACGGGCACTTTTACTAGGGACTTTTCGTAGACCGCGTTTCCTCCTCCGCTAAGCTCTTTGCAACGAAGAAGCCATCACTGCGCCTGCGTGCCGATGGCCTTGACTGCGCGGGTTGGGGAGAGTGTTGCGCGAAAACTCCCTATTAGTGGGAGGAGTGAGACAGTCAACATGTTTCTTCAGTGAATAGTACCAAAAACTTGAGCTGCTAGACTGATAACGCCGTGGCAGCGGTGCTTAACTCTAATGGCGTGCTACCTGTTTGGCGTAGCGTACACGACTTGAGTCGGTGGTAGCCACATCGGCGCTGTAAAATAGCGGACTCGTTTTGCTCGATTCTTGAACCCCAACGGTTTGGCCAACGGCTGTAGTAAACTAACATTGAAAAGGTGCGTTAATCGGTTGCTTTTAACCACCGCTATTCTAAGCTTAACATCTCACATGTTGTTACAATTGGCAACTTACCGTGTGCAAAGCACTTTGGGAGGGATGGGACAGCGTCTCAGTCCTCCCTTTATAAAGATCGGTGCTCTGACTGGCAGGTCAACACTAAAGCTAACATATGATAATGGTGAATCATTCAATTTTTGTTTTGTGTAAAAGGTTACCGCACTCTTAATTCCCGGTCCAAAACCACAGACAGCCGGAATGAGAAAGACTGCAATCGGTCTTCACGTCTAGTGAAGACCCGCCTGCCCAGCCCGTGACCACGGAGATGAGAGTGAGCGCGACTCAAACCGGCCAGTTCTCGATCGGCGGTTTTCGGGCGGAAAGAAACCGAATTTCGAGCCGCACATTCTGGTCTCATATGTCATGTACAACTAAAAACCTCGGCGAGCATAGATACCCTGTCAGTGTCCCTAAGTTCTGGAGGGAAAGGAAGGCTCAGGAGAAGGAAGCAGACGGAACGCTGGAAAGAGAGTTTCCTTCTCTCCTCTCCGGCATTCCGTTTGCTTCCTCTTCGCCAGCCCTCCTTTCCCTCGAATACTTTATTTAAAAAGCCACTAAATAAAATAATAATTAAACAGTCTGGTTGGGACACGCGCGTCAAGGAATAAATTTTACGCGAAGAAAACAAATTTTCCACTTTCCACTTATTTTCTCTCTCGGCATTCGGGCGCGTGGAGGAGAGGTGGATCGGTTTGGCCATCACGTTGAGCTGAGGTGGAGAGTGTATGACCATTCCGTGGCGTCATGAACTTTGCGCGCAGAATCGGAAATAAATTTCGCGCCGTCAATATTGCTCTAATTATGTTTTATTTATTTTTTGTTTGTGTAAAATTCATTTTTTGACACGCGTGTCCCAACCAGACTGTTAAAAAAAACGTTTTTTATTCTTTTTAGTGCTTCTTTAACCTGCAACTGAGAATCGTCAAAATGTTAGCGCAATCTTGTATGTGTCACACATTCCTCCTTGGGGAGAGGGTGAAATAAAAAATATTTTTGTTCTTAATTTTTTTTTTTTTTTTTTTTTACGTTTTTGGAATGGGGAAATGTCCTGTTCAGCTGATGTGAAGGGTCTTTCACGCTACATTTAGGACCATTAAACTTGTTTCAATGTGTCCATTAAGATACAGAAAAAATTATAGTGTGAAAACTGTCCCATTCTTCCCCTCTCTCCCCTAGTGACGTATTAATGGCGATAATTTCCAGCCGTGACCAGGCGGCCTGAAAACATCTTGGCTAACGGCGAAGGGTGTCGAACGAGTCGCGCTCCGCGATATGAAACGAAAAGGCGGGTGAGAAATTTAAAAAAGTGCCTCGCAAGTTTCGCAATACCTAGCCAAAACCGCATGGTAGCGCAACCATCTCCCCTTCTTAAAGGGGCGGTGCAACGATATTCAATAGGAATGTTTTTCACTTTACACGAGCTTACTGGCACTAGTGGGACTCAAGGATACTCGCACGCAACGCCACTGACCAAGAAACGTCTTTGTGGCGCTGTAATTTCGAGGACAAAACCGAGTGTTTTCAATCAATCTCTCCTTCGCAAAACCTGATGACGTAACTCGGCGGTAGCAGTACCGCCCAGTGACGATATTTGAATGCGGCTCATAGATTGGACCCGAGCATGGCGTGGACACTCGATTTGGGCTCGTGATAATCGATAGCTCGAGACGCATTCGGGTAGTGTCCTGTGTCCAATCGCTGCAATGACGACAACAACCGAACCATAACAATGTCTTGAACTCAGCGTGTGTCCTGTGCCTTGCCAACCCCAGCGTGAGGCTATGATCAACATTGGCGCCATATAATCGGCTCCCGATCACGTGGCCGCTTGTTCTGGCTGCGAGTTGAGGGGGTGAAAATGCTCGTTTTTGTTAATTTTTTTTCTGCGACTTCGGTTGCGTGTGGTGAAAAACGAACGGGTATTTCACAGGCCATTAACGTCGGGGATCCGTTCTAAGCAGTATTTGCGCAAAATACAAAAATCTTTGCACCGCCCCTTTAACCTTCGTGCGTTTCGCGAAACGGTGCCGTATTCAAAGTACTTGGGGGGCAACAGCTTATCGCCGACACCGCAGACCTTCCCCATTTAGATCCAACGCATAGCGATTTCAGCAACTCGCTGGCGCAAGGGCAGTCTCGGGCGGCGTGCCAACCCATCAGACACCCACCGCGCCGCGAATCAGTGCCTGTCCTACTGCTTTTGTTGGTTTTGTCGGGCTTCGTCCACCACACACGCCGCAGAAGACGTCACCCGTGGACTAGACGAGTCAGCGACGGCCTCCTCTCTAAACATAAGCAGGCCCAGCTCGCGCGAGATCCTCGACAGGGGAAATCAACAAAACTTGGGCTCCCGGTACGGGGCGAGGATTGGAGTGTGACCAACTGCGCGGGTGGGCGCAGGTCCAGCGACCCGGGTGGCCTGCCTGGTTTCCGACTGGTCATCCTGGTCGCCGTGCAGCCAGTCTTGCGGCCTCGGAGAGTCCTGGCGCCATCGTCAAGTGCTGCAGCATCCTCGCGGGGGTGCTCGGCCCTGTCCACCATTGCGCGAGCTGCGCTGGTGTGGTAGTGCTCGGAGCTGCCGAAAGCCCCAGTCCTATTTTCGATGGTAGCAGTCTCCGTTACAAGTCCTCGTGAAAAACGTGGTTCTTCTGCTTCGGCGGATTCTCGGGTGGTCAAAAAGTTGACCACTGTTGACAACAAATGGATCGAATTAACCCTAACCTCTTAACCAGTCCCTTCCTACATACATTTGTTCGTAGTGTTTCTCAGGATGTTCAGGCGTCTTTTGCAACTGCCTCTAGGGTGGTTTCATTTGAAATCGAACACGCTTGTCGGAATGGGTTTTTCGATTTTTATTTAAAAAATATATGTGATTGCACCATTTCTGGAAAGAACAAAACCGCTTTTTAAAATTAAAAAAAAAAAAAAATATTTCGTTTCACAAAAAAAAAGAAGAAAAAAAAAAAGAGTGAGTGGAGCAGGGCGAAAATCTGTTTTTACTCCGTGATTTTTCTACCCAGTTCTGTACGCTGGTATGAATACGGAAATCATACAAAACTCACAGTAGTTTTTTGTGCTCTTGTATGTTATTTCGACTATTTTTTAGTTAAAAGAAAAGTACTTTTGTATTTTTGTTTATTGGGGTAAAAAAAAAAAAAAAGCCAAACATCGTCTCTGACGATCCGATGGCATCTTCAGAGCCTTGTAACCAGTGGCGTAGCCAGGATTTTATTTCGGGAGGGGTTCACCGGCATTATTACCCCCCTCCCCCCCAAATGACGAAGCAGGGTGAACTCGGCGGTACGGACGCTCGCGGAAAGATTAGGGAGGCGCTGTTAAGATAAAGCGGGTAAGGCTGCATTCTCATTTTTCAAAACGGAACAGGCTTCATTTACACGAATACGGCCATGGTGGCTCACTGTTCTACCGTAGTTGCGGCCCACCAACTTTAAAAGCTTTTTTACAGCACATAACTCCCTCCGCTTTTTGAGGTACCACTGCATTACCAACGCGTGCCGGCCAGACAAAACAAAAATATAGCTATACTGTCATAAAAAATTAAACAGCAACACACAAACAAAGCTGCGAAATTAGAGCAAGCGTTTATGCACAAACACTTAGCAATATTCCAAGCCGCCATTAAAATGGCCGAGACAGCTGAAGTCGAAATTTAGATGCCGCGAGTAACAAGTCGGCAACGTCACCGCTCTAACATTCCCGCTGGAAGCACGGAAGAGCATTTCAAGCGTTCCGTGTTCCTTCCTTTCATGGATTACCTGATCACAAAGTTAGATGGGAGATTTAAAAAGCACTGGCGTACGTTGCAATTACTTTCGTCGCTTCTGCCTGCAAAGATCTTGGAAAGCGGGGCAGGTCTCGGTGCTGAACAGTTTTTGGAGCTCCATTCAGGCCTGGTTTCATTTCCTGAACTCCAATGTGAGCTGCTCATAAGGGCTGCCAAATGCAAAAGGGAGAAATGTGAAACGCCCGTCACGTGTGTTCCGGAGGCCCTATTCCCAAACGTCCATCGTCTCCTCAAGATCCTAGCGACTCTGCCCGTAACAACCGCGGAAGCCGAGAGCTCGTTCTCTTCACTACGACGGTTGAAAACATACCTGAGAGCGTCCACTTCGATAGAGTGACTGCTCGGACTAGTGCTTTTGAATGTTCACCGCGACATTGAAGTTCAAGCAGTGGACATCCTGGATATTCTTTGCCGTGAACGCAGGTGGCTGCATCTTAATATGTAGGCGCTTGGCACAGATGAAATGATCAAGAGAGCCTGTTAATTGCTTTCTGAAATAACTAGTCACAGTTACTTTTTTATTAGTGGTAGTTTACGGTGTGCTAAAGAACGCTACTACTTCAACGTGTTCAAGGCAGCAGAGGGGTGTACGGGCGTCACGCGGAAGGAGTTAAAATTCTCTTTTAAATGAAAAACCGGTCCTCTATTTCAATTAATAAAATAGTGCTTAACGCTGTTGAACTAACCTAACTTTCTTTTGCAAACGCTTTTAACCTGCATTTCGTGAACATTGGAAGCGGAACTGTACCTGTAAAGTATTGCGTCTTTGATGATAGAAACAGTAGCTTGATCTTTTTAGATCCGGTTGTAGAACCTGAGGTCATTAATGTGATTTTACAACTTAAGAAAAATGGAGCTTGTGACGTAGATGGTTTACAAATAAGGCCTGTTAATTGTTCATTTATTAGCGTCAGTGCTAACGCATATATTTAATCTTTCTTTGATGACTGGTGTTTTTCCTAAACGAATGCAAATAGCAAAAGTGGCTGTACTAAACAAAAAGGGGAGTGTAAATGTTATGGGGTAATTACAGACCGAAAGCACTTGAAAAGGTACTTCATACACGTATAACTAATTTTTCAACTAAGCATTACTTGATATGAGTTTGATTTTATAAAGCGTAAATCTACCGAGGCTGCACTACTCGTCCAGAAAAAATTCATCTTGAAAATTTTGAAGAAAAAAAATTGTTCTTAGAGCATTCATAGACTTCACAAAGGCTTTTGACTGCCTCAATCATTAAATTTTACTAGCATAAAATTTTACTAGCAAAATTGGATGCATATGGGATTCGAGGGCATGTTTTGCACAACTTGAGTGAAAGTCTTACTTACAACATCGAGTGCAATTAGTTTATATTAATGGATATTCGTCAAGTTCGAAGCTTATTCTTACTGGTGTTCCACAGGAATGTATATTAGGTCGTTTTCTTTTCAATATTTACGTTAATGATATTGTAAATATTAACCCTGGTGCAACATTTAACAGCTATGCCGACGACACTAGTTAGCTTTTTTTCAGCTGAAAATGTCGACGCGCTATTTGACATGGAGGCGTTATCTGCATTAGCAATTTGGAGTCGCATTAATTCACTTCCAATCAACGTCGAAAAAACAAAAGCAGTGCTTTTTCGCCCAAAACATAGGCTAGTCACAATTACAAGAGGTATTGTTTTGAAATCCTCCAAAATAGAGATTGTAAACTCTGTCAAGCTCTTAAGTGTCTTTTTTACCGAGAATATGTCACCGGATAGTCATGTCAACTACCTTATTTCTAGGCTGTCACAAGTAGTAGGTGTGATAAACCGCCACCGGTACATGTTACCAGCAAAGCTGAGATTATTAATATACAATTCGATATTTTACTCTTACATAAACTATTGTAACTTAGACTGGGGTACAACGTCGTCGACGAAAATAGACAAAAAACACTTGTTGCAAAAAAAACAAAAAAACGTTAAGGGCTATAGAAGACGTTCCATTTGACTTCCACACAGCTAGTTTATTTAAAAAGTTTCGGGTTATCAACATAGGTGCTCTATTTAGCCATAGACTTGTCACTAGACTAAAACTACAACAAATTACGCGTACAAACTTTTTGATAAACCTTGGGCAGCTCTCTGAAAATATTCACGCGTGTTCTTCCCGTCGTGCGGAATGTTGGGAGGTGGTCACTGCAAGAACAAACTATGGCACACAAATGCTTAAGCATACTATCCCAGAAATACTTAACCTACTTGAAGATAAAAGATTGGAATTTAGTAAATTGTCTCTTGGAGAAATTTTACTAATTTTCTCCACAAATAAATCTGAGTATGAACTAATCTTTTGGGGTCTACAAATAGGTCACTTTCCTGTTATAGCCGATGATAAAATATATTATGTTCGAAACACGCTTTGTTAAATTGTGGTAATGAAGATTTGTAAATGTTTTTTTTTTCCATTAATTTGTCAGGGACTTGTCAAGCTGTGCCATACAGCTTTTTTCCTTGATCGCCACCATCAACATACGACGGATATAAATAATTTTAGTCGAAAGCACGTAACTCTGATCAGTACTCAAGGTGTGCGTGAGCGCAGCGCCACCCCTTTGCTTACAGTGCAGTTGTTTTTAGGATTCATTCAATATTCCTTACATCACTGACATTGTTTTATATTATCAACATGTGTTCGCTTTATTATGTTCGCTTTGGTTTGATTGAACTGTGTATTTTAGTGAGGATAGCTTGTTATTCTTGGCCTTGAAATTGCCATCCTTCACCCCACAAGTGTTTCGAAGTATCCGTTCTCTAGATATCTGAGATCAAGTTCCACAACCCAATGATTGAAGGAATATTGCCCATTTTATTTATTTGAGCATTTTCTACCCCACAAACACTCTTCCCGAAAACATGTAAGTTGGAGATAGTTAGCGCTCCACCTTTGCTCCATGTCCCGCGCAAAACCGACTGCCTGTGCAGGGGAGCCAGCGGGCCCCCCCGGGGGGGAGGGAGGGAGGGGGGAGAGAGAGAGAGAAGGGCGGAGGGGAGGTTTGGCATATCGGGGAGGGGGGTCTCGACCCCCCAAACCCCCCCTCTGCCTACGCCACTGCTTGTAACTCATGAGTTATTATATCTGTCGCTTACCAAATACTAAGCGGGTGTAGTCCCGCACATGGGCTAACACCATTTGGCGATAAATAGTCACTTTTATTCATTAACGCTAATATATTTAGGATGCACTTGTAAAACAATATGTTGCTGTGCTTTAAATAGTCCAGTTCACGAGCAACGCAATATTGGAACTTTTTTGACAACGGCATCGGCTTGCCTCTGCGGAGACGATCGAGCGCGGGGGCAAGCTGGACTTTGTACCGCAGCGGTGGGATGCATGCCCAGAAGTTCAACAGCGTGGTAAGTCAAGACGAACAGAACGAAAGCTGGAGCCAAAGCGAGCGAGCGGTGAACCCGAGACGGTGGCCCTTCTGTTTGAACGAGTGTGTACAGTTAAACAGTAAAAAATAAAAGAGTTGGGTTTTGTTCACGACTGATCGATATCTCTGAATGCCAAGAAGCAACGATTCCCACATGCACAGAAGGCAGCGAAAGCAGTCACTTAATGTCTCTGTAGACTTTTAGTTTCTCCATTTTGTCGCACCGAGCTTAATGTACAGCCTTCGGGAATATGGAAAAGCGATTTGACGATTTTATTTTAGGTGGCTACGGTAGATTTGCTTTGGCTAGGCACACATTGCTTTGGTTTGGGAATAAATAAGGGTTTGTTCTATTTTCTCCTTCAAAATAAAGCGCGTCCGGCCAAGGCGGACTTGGCACCGCTGCATAAACAGCATCGGCGAATGTGTCTTTCATAATGCCGGAGACTGTACATCTCGTGCTGATGTCACCATAGGTTCCTGGCCTGGCTCGCGACTGTAGACCACACATGTGAGGAGCGTAATCCTGTGCGAGCACCTACTGAGGCCCATTCTTCTCTTTTGTGCTTCCTGAATATATCGATTTTCTTTCTCCGGTAAGTCGAAAAGCACAACGCTACTTGTCATTGTTTTAATTATTTTTTTTTTCAACGAAGTCCTTTGACGTTTGTATCTAGGAGCCGCCCTGCGAACAAAAATTGTGGAATGCGGCGCGGTGCTTCAAGCCTTACAACCTGTGTATAATACATATATATGACCCCGGTCTGGCTACATGAAGAGCTCGTTCCGTTTTCTCCGTCCTTCGTACCCTGGCTTTAGACATCGGATAATGGAACATCCGCTGCACCGCTAACGATCGGACTAAGGAATGTCGGTTGTCATCATTACAAAATTAAGAAAATACAGTATGTAGCCAAGCACGAGTGTTCTCCATCAAAATGAATTTACCCGCTGCAATTGAACACACACACACACAAAAAAAAAAAAAAGCAGTATAGTTTTTGCAGTGAAGCCGACCTGCGGAAACGGCGTTTGGCCGTTCCGAGAAAGTGGGAGCGACTTCGATCACTTTTAGAGAAGATGCAACAAAAAAAGGGGGAAATAGCATCAAGCCAATTGAAAGTTCATATGATCGACAGCAATAAAAAAAATAATTTAATGAAATAAATTTTTTTTCGCGATAAAGAGAGTTTAAAATATCGTTTAATCTCATTTTCAACGATATATCAAATTTTATATAAAAACATTCTGTGAAAATAAATTAAACTAAACTTATGCCCGTCGATAGCCCATGTGTAGGACTACACCCGCAAAGTACTTTGTATGCGACAAATATAATAACTCATGAGTTACAAGGCTCTGAAGATGTCACCGGATCGTCGAAGAGACGATGTTTGGCATTTTTTAACTCAATAAACAAAAATACAAAAGTACTTTTCTTTTAACTAAAAAATAGTTGAAATAACATACAAGAGCACAAAAAATTACGGCGAGTTTTGTATGCATTTGGTATTCACACCAGCGTACAGAACTGGGTAGAAAAATCACGGAGTAAAAAACAGTTCATCCTACTCCACTCAATATTTTTTGTGAAACGAAATACATTTTTTTTTTAAATCTTGAAAAGCGGTTTTGTTTTTTCCAGAAATAGGGCAATCACATATATTTTTTAAATAAAAATCGAAATACCCACCCCGACAAGCGTGTTGATTTTCAAATGAAACCACCCTCTAGACCAGTGTTGCGGAATGGGCACCCCCATTCCATTCCCATTCCGGGGAATTAGAGTTTTCGATAATTCCACACTGGGCCCATTCCCACTCCTGGAATGGCTGAGTCGCTCCATTCCATTCCTCCAATTCCTAAACGTTAAAAGTGTCACTTGACAGCTGCATTACGTTGCAGGGTTGGGCAGAAATATTCAGAAATGTACTTGGAAATACAAATACTGGGGCAGATGAAAATAGTTGCTAAGATACTGATGCTCAAGTCTCAAATATATCTATAAAAACGTATCGTAATACGTATCGGAAATACATTTTAAAAAAAGGCAAAAAGTCTTTGGAAATACAAATACAAGAATGCATTTTAGGGAGGGCAGAAATATAAATACTGATAAACAATAAATTTTTCAAATTTCTTTGAGACGCCAACTGAGATGAGGCTTTAAGTTTAAAATTAAAGTTCCATTTTTTTTTTTTTTTTTTGTTCCCGAAATTACTTTTCTGCAGGCTTGGCACTTCGCCTTGAAGGTAGTGGTTCCGGACTAAGAGTCCTGAATGGGTTTAAAAAACATTCCATCAAAGATTGACCGTGGTCCCTTCCCTGGCATCTTGTCTGACCGACCAGTGATGCGAAAAGACTTCGACCTCTAAAATAAATTCCACCAAAACATCACCACTTCCCTGTCCAATAAGGGCGCCCCTGTCAGCACTGCATGACGTCACGGTGGGATGAACCCGTATTCTTGTATCTGTAGGTGTCGCCTTCAACATGAAACTTTACCCACGCTGCTGTATGAAAGGACAATACATACTTTCGTTGTAGGTGACCTCGTTGAAGACCATGCAGGCAGTTGCATTTGGAATTTTCGAGAAAAGTGGACCACCTGAAGCATCCTGAAGCACATGTATCATCTTCTGTTACGTTGAAAAATCGATCCGGTGGCATCCCTGTTGTGACGGTCCTTCCTGCCGACTCGCCGCCTCCAACGCATGAATGGCAGTCTTCAAGTTTCGCCTAGCATCATTCAAACAGGGACCTCGTGGATTGCGACCTGAGATGGCCGGCACAGGTGCGAGCTCTTCGAGAACAGCGCGCTCGAGACGAGTCGAAAGTGTACGAAGTCTGGGTCCGCACAGCGAGGCCACGTCTGGCCTCCTTCCTGGGTATCGGATCACCAGAGAAGCAGGTCACGTTCACGTCGGCTGATGACGTACAGTCGGGGACAAAAGTCCCCAGGACGTGCGAGATCACACAAAAGCGCATGCGCGTCCTACTCTGCCTGCAAACGCGTGTTTTCCCGCTCTTCTGGGGCACAGAGGAATCGGGCACTTGGTACCGCCTCGGAGATAGCGCTGGCGGCTGACGAGCGTCTGCTACACATTCCGAAACTCGAGATACCGCCTGGGGCATTGAGCCGCATTTCACCGTGTCAGCGCAACTTGCTTTATAAACATTTCAGCTTATCGCTCAGTTGAGCTGCCGTGACTTCTTGCTTTATAGGTGCCATGTCTGTAGGCGCTATCTCCGAGGCGGTACCACGCGCCCGATTCCGAGTTTGGCGCCGCACCGCAGAAGAGCGGGAAAGCGCACATGCTTGCAGGCACAGTAGGACGCGCATGCGCGTTTCTGTGATCTCGAAACCTGGCGACCCGCCGGCAGATGGCAGAGCAATGCATTTCAGTCACAGCTCGCGTGTCCTGGAGACTTTTGTCCCCGACTGTACCAGCCGTGCAATACTACAGGCGCAGACGAATTCGGATATGTGTTGAACTTCACTGGTGAAAGGCGCCACCGCCCACCCCCCTCCCCCCTCTGTTCTTTGCTTTGACGCTTGTTTTTTTTTGTATTGCATGTTTTTCTTTTGCGCATAAGTCTGCTAGGGCCTTACGCGGGTTCGCAGTTTCCCGCTCATTTTATTTCTGTACAACCGACTCCCTGACTGGCACGGTATAGCTGAACGTAAAGAATAAATAAATAAATAAATATAAAGAACCTGGCCCATTCCATTCCATTCCGAGCAAAAGGCATCTAATTCCATTCCCATTCCATTCTCCTGAACGTTGCCGCCATTCCATTCCCATTCCATTCTGGGGTCGCGAAAATGCGGAATGATTCCGGTGGCAACTCCGCAACACTGCTCTAGAGTCTAGACGGTCTGTTGCGCGAGTCACTCCAAGTAGGCGACCGTAACGTTACGAATGGCAAGACAGATTGTAAAGGGCATTCAATTCATTCTTCCAGTTCTTCGACAGTTATGGCCACACAAGCCCAAAGCGCGCCCATATTTACAGCCTAGAGTGCAGACACACAGACACGCATTCAAGTGTTCTCTATGCATATTTATGAATTCTTACTGGTGAACATGTTGAGGAAACAACTTTTTGAGTCAGGAAATAGGAGCCAACTTGGCAATTTTTCTAGATTCCCGGACACTGGAAACGGGACACTGCATGGTCGTCCAACTTACAGGAACCATGGGGACCTCTGCAACCGAGAAAAGGGTTGAAAGTGTTAGCTGCTTGACTCAGCACTTATGCAAGTGTCACATATGTTGGTAGCCAATTAGTCACATCGCTCTTGGTTATCAATTCCTTCATATGCTTAAAAGGTCTCTCCAGCCTTAAATGGGGGTTGTTAGTTTCATATAGAAACCTCGTGGCAGGTACCAGGACCTATTCGTGGAAATGTCCACGAAATTTCAGCTCGCGATTTGAAGAATACAGCATATAAAACGCTTCTGGAAATTCTAGTATTGCAACCAACTTGATAAACGAGTCGTGACGTAACAGGTTGCCGTTGTTTTCTAGCTCAACGCATCTCTGGTCTCTCTTCTGAGAGCGGCTCGATGTTGGTGAGGAGGGGAACCAAAAATGGCGTGACGTCACGATTCAGACCAGTTTCTGTGCAGAGGTTTGCATCGGCACGCGGGCTGAGTCACCTAAAATGTGTGGAACATAATGCACGCGTCTTTTGCTGTCTCAGGTAAATGAAAACTCAATTTCCCTGACTAATGCTGATTGCAGTAGAAATCCCCCGACTTTTCCCTGGATTTTCCAGACCCGCCGAATTCCAACAATTCCGTTTTCCAGGTACGTAGGCACCCTGAATTATGTTCTTTACCTTTGGACCTAGGAAAGCACATGCAGAAGATAATTAAATACAGAATTTTCCAAATAAAAATCGACCATCTTGTGTTCATGTAATGCGAAATTTTAAATTATCTAAAACTAAACATGACAACTTTTAGTGTTTCCTGTGTCGGGCTTTCCATAAAATACAGAGCACTCCTGCATATTCAATATGCAATGGCATGCTCCACGGACAGATCCACCTATAGTCGGTGACAGCCTAAGAGTTCAGGGAAAGCTCCTCCCACCTCTTTCCACTTTAGCAGAGCGAACGCTGAAGAGGAGGCAACCTCCTCTCCAGCATTCGCTCAGCTAAAGTGGAAACAGGTAGGAGGGGCTTCCCCTCAACTCTGAACCTGACACTGACTACAGTGCAAGACGGTGCTTCAAAAGACAGTGCTCCAAGGTAATAAAAAAAAGCTCAGGGACGCCGCCTGAAGTATCGTCCACTTGCTTGCAGAAATTTCAGTGACTTATCCCTGGTCGACGTCGTAGAGCCATACGATAATTCAAGAACTTTATATGCCTTCATTGCAGCAATCCCTTAAATTTAGCATGTCTCTGGAAATATTGCAGCGGTACTGGACAGGGTGAGAGCACATGGCAACGCACACCTCACAATATCTCTAAAAGAATATCTCACAATGTTCTCAATAAACTTTGGCTATAAACCCCCCCCCCCCCCCCCCCCTCCCCCGAGTACAAAAACATTTTCAATGCCACATTCATGTGCGAAATACGATGCCAAGCTCTCTTTGGTTCATCTCATTTTCGCACTGGAGACAAGTGAAATTGCCTCTGTAAGTGTGAACACAGTCACCTATTTCTAAGCCAGGTACTCCTTCTATGTTGTTCGCTCAAGCATGGCCCTCATTAGCATCCAAACTTGATCCCAATCATTTTCACTGTAAACGGGCTAGCGTGTGCAATGCATTTTGCAGCAGATGTTTTGTTCTCCACGGGCTGGAGTCACTTTTGTACACGGGCTACATTCTTTTTAAAATAAGCACTAACCTAACCTAAACTAGTAGTTTTAATGGCTGATAACATGTGAATATTATCAAGGGTGAAAGATAAAGCATGCCCACCCTATAACCAAGTATGGTGGTTTTTATCCAACGACAGCTGAAGTGGCACGCAGGCTAAGTTATTTTTTAAAAAAAAGCTGGGTTTTACAAAAAAGAAAAGAAAAAAGAAGCTTTTCTAAAGCAAATCTGTTAAGCCTGAAAAAAAAAATATATATATATATATATATTTCTTTTCTCAGTCATAACGCTTTTCGTTTCACTTTCATGTTTAATTTTTGCTAGCATTTTCAGCAAGTTACCATCACCAGAAACATATTCTATGCCAAAACTCGAGAGGGTTTCATTATCTTCAACTGTGGAAGTCATCCGGGGTGATGCCAGAAACAAAAATCGAGGAGGTGGAGCCTTCTTATTATCAAGTTTACTTTTTTCGGAAGCTTGTAACCGTAACACGTTACTGTTTAGTGGAAATAACTTGTAAACGTAACAGGGTTAGTATCTATTAAAAGTAACTGTAAAGAGTACCGTCATTAGTTGCTTTTAAGATTTTAAGATTAACACTATTCCACACACGACCACCAAATCGTCTCGTAACTTGTGAGAGAGGACACTGCAAGAAATTGCGGCAAAAACAGTCTAAAACAAGGAGAGAAAAAAAGGAGAAAAAAAAAAAAAAAAACTAAATTTAGAATGGTCCCGCTTGGCCAAGCTGGTCCCACCGACTGGAGAATGGGAACGATAGTGTCCCTAATTGTGTATGGTATATCACCCACAGTGCGCGTAGATGGAACAAAGCGCGGCACCTTTAAAGTGTTTCTCTTTTCTTTGTCCGACTGAGGGATTCGGAGCTTTTCGTGGAAGATCGTTTTTTGTGATCCGTTACCAAAACGCACCTGTGGCTTAAGGTACAACTGATTTTTCAAACCTCCACTTTTTGCCGCTAAGCGTATGTTTCCCCCTAATTTGAATCGTTCAAGTCCCAGATGCGCTTTTATGGATCTTGACTTCCCGCCTTAATCCCCCACCCCACCTGCCTTCCCCTTTTTTACAAACCAATTCAGACCTAAGCTTTTCTCCCTTATGTCACTCGCTCGTTGCTGCCAATTCTCTGCTCCCCGAGTCCCGTCAACTTGAGAAAGAGGATTTGCTAGCTCAAAACATCATCTCTGTCGTTCTGCCTTTTTTTGCGTTTTCTTGATACTGAAAGACCGCCATTAGCCAGGACCAGGGAAATTGTGCATCGCTTGATTTGTAGATGTCTGCGTCGTGGGTTCTCCTGGTGGTCCCTTCTAGATGCATTGGTGAAATGAAGTGCAAATGTGTCTGATCTCATTAAAGGGGCACTGACACATCAAAATCATATTTTTTTTTATTATCCGAAACGGTCGAAAACGATGCCGGGACATTACCCTCAAAATTTGAAATTTGGGAATTCAGTATTCGTGAAGTAAAAAAACAATTTCCAAATGCCGAATTCGAAGTTCCCGCGCGATCGGCGCCGGTGCCTTGACGTCAAAAATTGCGGAGACCTGAGAGTCCCCTTTCCTGTCACCACTCCCTGCTGTTGCCATGGCGACCCAAAGCGAGGAGGAAAGGAGCGAGCGCCGGCTAGCGCCGGCGTTGCGGCGGACCGGTTTTGAGCGGTGTCGCCTGTTTTCCGTTGGAGGATACAAATCCAGGAGACGGCACCACAACGAACTCCCGATTTTCGGTATTTCAAAAAGAAGGGCCGTAGTGCGTTCGCAATTGCGTTAAAAAACATGTTTTAGGATGGCCGTCATTAAATGTTATAAAGATGCCGCCTACAAAGCTTCTAAATTTCCTGATTTTTGACGTCACCGATCAAAAGAAGCGAGGAGGCGAGAGGCGGGAAAATCAAACGCCAAAAATAAAAAGGCGCGCGTGCGCGCGGGAAAATTTTTTTTCGCGATGCGGTTTTTTTTGCGTGTCTATGGCTGCAACTTGCATCGTTTTAGACAATAAAAATAAATACGACCTTTGGGGTGTCAGTGCCCCTTTAAAGGAGCGATGCAACAATTTTTGTACTGTGCACAAATACCGCTTAAATCGGATCCCTAACGTTAATGACCTATGAAACACGCGTTCGTTTTTCACCCCACGCAATAGAAGTCCCAGAAAAAAATTTAAGAAAAACGAGCGGCGTTCACCCCCTCAACTCGCAGCCAGAACAAGCGGCCACGTGATCTGGAGCCGATTATATGCCGCCAGTGTTGATCATAGCCACGCGCAGGGGTTGGCAAAGCGCAGGACACGCGCTGAGTTCCAGACATTGTTATGGCTCGGCTGTTGTCGTCGTTGCAGCGATTGGAGACGGGTCACAACCCGAATGCTTCTCGAGCTAGCAATTATCACGAGCCCAAGTCGAGTGCCCACGCAATGCTCGGGTCCAATCTATGAGCCGCATTCAAATATCGTCACTTGGGTGTACTGCGATCCCCGAGTTACGTCATCAAATTTTGCAAAGGAGAGATTGAATGAAAATGATCGCTTTTGTCCTTGAAATTACACCACAACAAAGGAGTTTCTTGGCCAATGGTGTTGCGTGTGAGTATCCTTGAGTCCGAGGTGTGCCAGTAAGCTAGTGTAGAGAGAAAAACATTCCAATTGAATATCGTTGCACAGCTCCTTTAAGAACTCATGGAGCAAATATTGAGCTAGATTTAAACAGCCAATTGAAATTCTTGATGCAGTGACCCTTTGTGCCTCGGTAAGTGCTTCCTTTACGCCACTGCCATATGGTGTCCAGCGAATTTGAGGGAGCAGTATCGATGCAACATTGATCTTCAAGTTTTCGAGAGAAGTGCCGTGTTCCATGAAAGACTGTGCACACAAAGTAAAAAAGGATTCGACCTACAAGTTGATCGGGGTGTCTTATAAGAACATCTACAAAACTGATCGCAAGATATGACTTACAATAATTTTTTTTGTACCTGACGATTTTTATTGCTTGTTTCATTTGTTCTCACCGAAGATATCCGCATTTATGATTGACTGATTATAACTCGCACCGCATTTGGATATACCCGAGATTATTGGTCACAGGTGTATATGTGACATCTAAACCCTAGGGGGGTCGTCCCTATTTTCAAGTTTTTCTTAGATCCTGGATCATCAACCAGCATCAGCTGGCTCACCATTGTGAAGAATTAAAGTCGTTTGTAATTTTCTCAAAAAAACTAACTAGAAATGCTTTATCCACGTCTAGTCAAGTAGTATTTGTAAAAGTTACGAAAAAGTATAATGGCATTACTTTTTTGCATTAACTGTGACTGCAACAAGTTACCCTTTCAATTTTGTAACCGTAACT